CGCCGACGCTTTGTGTAATACGAATTACTCGCCCTCCGCCGCGGCGCATTGTATTATTCCACTTCTCTGTCGGCGAGCGAGTAAAAAATAATAATGCAGATCTTTCTCATGCAATCGCAAGACTTATTACGGCGNTTTCTCGTGCAATCGCAAGACTTATTACGGGGCAGCCCGGCCTGGAAGAACAGCTCGGTTATGCACTTCGGATCATTAAATCGAAACGAAAGGGGTGCAGGCACACGATGACAGTGTTTCCCCGTCGTTATTAGACCCGTTTTGTTCGCCTGTTCATTTCGTCTTCCCCGAAGGCCATCAATCGCCTCTCGTACAAATCCGCGCCCATGAACACCTCCGGCCGCCTGACCTTAACGATTACGTCGCCGACGAATTGTGCCATTATGGTAATTGTGTTTTTCCCTCGGCAACGTTCACTTCGTTACGGTGTCTCTGACAACGCGTCATGGTACACACTCGCCTTTATTCGGGCGCCGAGTTTGTGTCTTGATGTTTGCCCGGTCAATCGCATATAACGAGGCGTGTAAGTAGGCAATTCCTGTACACTGTTATCGATACAATTACCGTAGCGTCGAGTTTATCGTCGTTATTTATTTATTACGACAGTCTGTGCGCTCGTTTCTCATGTGTCACGAACCGCGCGAGTTATCTCAAATGCGTTTGTCATTCTAAATATTCCGACAGAAGTTTCATATGAACAGCGTGTCGAAAGTGTGTGACGAAAAATTGTCACGAGATATTATTTATTCATTTTTAATTGGTTAATTTATAGTTTTGGTTAACAACAAATGGAATTAGCGCACACGTACGACAAGCTAATATCGAGTTCGCCGTCATTTATAACAAATAATGTGCTGCTCTGATATTATTGATGGAAAAAAAATAATCTATCTTTTTTATTCGTAATTACAGTCGATATATATTTTTCTTTTTTTTGATTACTACATGCTGATTAAAAACAATCTCTCTTCGTTTAGATTTATTGCATTTTGTAAGTTATTTAAGATTTTTTTAATTATTTGTAATTTGCAATCTCGTTACGCAAAAATTCGTGTATTGATTTTTTTGACAAATCGCACACATCTGCAGAGTATTAAATGTGTGACACTTTGAACTTTATTTATCAAAGACCGATTGGTTTGGATTGGCTAGTAAACTATCAACAGGAATGCAACGTGTCCGTTTAAAAACTGTAGTTAATCGGACCGTTTCTCTTTTTAATTGTACACCGTTTTTTTCCGGTAGACTCGATTTGCCAGATTTCATTGTAATTCGAATTACCGGCGGGCTTGTTTGCCGTAATGGCCGAGGCTAACAATAAAACAAAGAGGAAATATCAATTGATTCCGAATCGTTTGTTCTGCGACAAATACGCGTTGAGTGAGGAGGAAAGCCAGCGCTTTACATTACCTCTTGAAATTATATGCGACCCCCTCCCCCACTCGGTCGCATCGCCATCGTAATGCTGCTCGAGGCTCATTACTCTAATGGGCAGAGGACACGGTGCACGACGCTTATATGGCATTATTATTAGTCACGTGACCTTAAGTGTGCGGATGTGTTTTTACCCGAAGGGTTTTGCCTCTTGTTTGTTCTGTAGCATCGAGGGATCGTAATGGAAAACACCTTCTGCTATCATTTGACCGAAAACGTCCAAACGGCCCTTTTTCGGAGATTGACACGGGCACACTCAAACATGACAATAATAATATCAGCAGGTTTTAATTTTTTATGATGAGAAAAAGCAAACATTTATTTTGAATGGTATGCCATTGATTTACCGTATTGTTGAAGTATCCTGAAAACAACACAAACTCTTATGGAAATTAATTATTATGTTATTAGATGATATTTGTACCCAAACGACGTACAATAGTAATTTTGATGCTTAATCGTTTTTTTTTTTTGTGACATATGAGCTAAAAAAAAGTGCATTTATAGAACTCCTCTTTTGTTCATTAATTGAATAATTGAATTTTTATATATATCATATTATCGTAAATAAGTGCATATATATATATATTTAAACTCTTATTAGCAACAGAAGTAGAGCTATTTTTTTGAAGTCGATGAAGATATTTTAGATCTTGAAAAACTTTTGTTTATAAAGTTAGGTAATTCATATTAACGCACGAGATCCATTGAAATTACCATCGTTTTTTTTTTTTATTAGTATTTCCCTTACATAAATCGCTGTTCCGCTTTTCGCTTATTATTTATAACTTTTTATTGCACTTGTTGCAAACTTCGTTTGCAGTTCTTGTGTTTTTTTTTAAGACTATCAAACACTCACTTTAACATTTTAATTTGATAGTCGTTGAATGTAATTTGAGATAATATTTCAGATATATTTGAAATATAATACAAAATTGAAAAATATTACTTACATAAATGTATAGATTGTATGATAGAAATAATATGTTTGTTTGTTCGTCAACACTTTTAAGTAATTAAAACACTTATATTTATTAGGTTTTATACTGTTTATTTAGTTTTTTAGAAATAATTCGGCGTTATATGTTACTTTTATTTCGGGAATCAAATTAATCGTATTTGGATAGCTTGAGGGGTTGATTGAAGCTACAGAATTACAAAAAAAAAGTCAAACATTCTTGTCTACTAGAGTTATGTGACGATATTAGTGTAGTTGAAGTGGAACAGAATTGTAAAGAAACATCAGACGATCCCATATCTGTAAAATGTATAAAAAACAAAGCTAGGTATAAAAACAAAACATTTTTCACCGCAGTGGTATTTTCATTTTTCTTTTTTACTTACAACTTATAGGATACACTTTTTCTATGTTTTTTTATTTACGTTTCCAGATACTCAATACTTAAAGGCCTTTATAAGAAACGTTATTTTCGTGAGATTAGACGAAATCCATACGTATTTTTATAAAAATAATTGTTTCGAAAAAGTGAGGAATATACGACGAGTGCAAATTACATATTTTTTATTTCGCCGCAAATTGAAGAATATATTTTAGATATGACTACTATTGCTGTTATTTTCATTGTTTTGTCTGTGTAACTTATGTGCAAAGTAGACAACTATGTTATTCATCTGATTATCTAGTGATCTTAACATTTTTTGGTTATCTCAGAGTAATAATATATGCGCTGTTTACTTTTAAAAGTAGTTTGTTACACTTTAATTTCGACTTGATCAACATTTTAGATGTAGTTTCTCATTGGAATCATGACATTATACCGTATTTCTTTCATTGCCTCTCTAGTATAACTATGATTACTATATAGGAGGGTTTTGCCATAGGATTAATGTGGCGACTACAGTTGCCGGATACTTTGCGAACGAACTTGGAGATTGTTTGACTCCGTAACACGTGCACAGAAGACACAAAACATTATGACAGACTCGCAAAGTTTTTTTTCGACGATGCATTATTTTATATGATAAATGTGTTTTATACTTATGTTGTTAACCAAAATTTCCAATTTTACATCACCGCCATAAAATATATATAAATTACAACGTTTATTTGATGTTATTTTAACATATGCTATATTAATCGTAAACATTAAAAAAAGAGAACTGAAATCCAACTTCACTAATGTTATAGCATTTTTAAAAATGTTTGTTCATTGTTCATTTAGGTGAAGATTTGGTTCCAAAATCGACGGACCAAGTGGAAAAAGCATGACACGGTGACAACATCAGAACAGTCAGACCCGTCAACAATTACTGCCACCTCAGTGGGCTCCAAAAATTCGCCCAAGTCGACTACAGGGGCCAAGTTCCTTAGTGAAGGTGATGATCACTCATCGTTGGAAGATTCGGAGAGCTGTTATAGTGGCGTGGACGTTGCTGAGTCTAAAGTAGTGATTGCTAGGACGCCGGAATCACTACCTCCCACATCGCCGCCCGACAATGACACCACTGCGCGGGCTCCCAGTTAAGCGATTGATTTCTACATCACTTAACTTTTACGACCTAATTAGTCGATGAAAAGAAAATGCATAATTAGATGGAAATGAAGTTACATTAATTTTGTTAGTTGTTTTTTTTTTTTTTTTTTTTTATATCATTATAATAGTAATAACCGTACGAAAAAAAATGCATGTTGGATAACAAGCAGTTAGAATATTAAAACATAGTTTTCGATAAAATGTGTGAAAGACATTTGCTCTAAAAGACCATTTTTGATTATACTGTTGATTCAGTCCGAAAGAAAAATTCCTATCACATCCTTCTCTTCCTTCAAATTCCAATTCCATTGTCGCCTAAAGCCTATACTTCATTTTTTTTACCTGTTCTTTAATTGTCCACTTAAACAACGATGTTATTATTATTATTAATTTTTTTTTTGTAATGNTATTACCTGCTCTTTAATTGTCCACTTCAACAACGATGTTATTATTATTATTAATTTTTTTTTTTGTAATGCGGTGACGCTATTTTTTTTTTTTATGTAAAAATTGTGTAATTTTTTTATACACCATAACAGGTGAAATGTACTGAATATGTAAACGAAATGTTGTAATGTGGTCTTTAGGACTATTAATGTAAAAAAAGGTAATTGTACTTTATAATGTTCTCAAATTATACTTACTTTTTCGCGTTATATTTCTTTAATTATTATTATTATTAATAATATATATGTGTAGAATATGTATTGTGTATAATATAATGGATAAAATATTTGTAAAAAATGAATGTGTATAATATTTATAAAACATTATTTTCAGTGTGTTATATTATGTTATTTTTTTTTTAAGCCTCCTCGGCAAATAAAAAGTGAACTATTATAATTGTTGTTACTTCATTTATTCGAAATAAAACATGCAAACAATTTTAAATTATAGTATAGTATTTAAGATAATTTTTGGAAGAAAATAGAATTCGAAAAAGAACTTCAATAAAGTTGTTTGTAATCATGAGATTAATATAACTACCAAAGAATCTTTATTGCATGTAATAATTAAATAAACTTAGAGATTATCTAAAGCAAGAGTGAACAATTAGTTTTTATAGCGGATGCCAGGTAGTTAAAAAAAATGTTCAACGACCAGACAAAAAATATAATCAATGAATGTATTAAATTTAAAGAGGACATCATATAAATTTAATATATTGAATCTCAATATATAAAAATATGTACTGTAATAAAAAAAGACGTCCTAAAGTTTGTTCTGAGTCAGATTTTTGAAATTTGATACACTCCAATATTCCATAAGTAAATCAATCATTAATTACGTGCAGACAAGGAATTAATAGATAAATACAAGAAAAAACAAATTTTGGTGTTTAATATTGGTTGGTTGGTTAATATGATTGGTCAATTTTTTACCTTCGGGGCTAGATTTGGATCGCGAGTCAGTCACCTATAGGTTATATATTACCAATCGACTTGAAGTTCCAAAGTCTTATTGTCAGCTATAGCTTAGAGCCTCAGTAATGAAAATACGTGAAAAATATGATCTTGTAAATTAAAAAAAAAAAAAATTGTACTTATTCAATTTTATAATTAAACTTTAAAAGAAGATTGATAATAAAAAAGATGTCATCTGGACATAATAAAATAGCATAAAAATTTGAGTGAAGAATAAATTGATAGTAATAATAAGTTCGCGTAATAGATCCAAAAAACTCTAAATATAAACGATGTATTTCTTTAACATTTTTCTTTTGTAGAAAATCTATAACACATATTAAGTTAGAGTATTGAAGAGAGAATTAAGATCATATTGTAAAATAAAACACTGTGAAATTAGAAGTAATTTGTAGTAAAGTATTTTGGAATAGTTCAGTATTTATAGAACGAAATCTTTGGTTTTATATATATTTAGAGGTAAAAGCACAAAAGAAATACTCATTAATAAATTCTAATTATAGCAGTTAAATTTAAGATGGCTCCTGAATATGGGTGGAAGTGATATCTTAATACTGATGAATTGAATAGAAATGATGTATGATGCCAAGAAGGTAATTGACCATAAATTTTAAACTAATCAAGATTTTAATTAAAAAACAAACGTTTTTTGTAGATTATTGTCAAACTTATTATTACAAATAATTATTATTTTTTGATTTGATTTAATACTTAAGAAAAAGTTGTAAGGTACCGCAACCTAAGTATATATATATATTTATAACACAAATTACAATTTTTCATAAGATTTGTCTAGTTGCTCATAATTAAGTATTATATATATTTAGTGTCTCATGATTATTTTATATAATTATTATACCTTAACGAAATCTATATGCAAATATTATTTATTATTGTTAGAAATTTTGGTTTATAGTTTTTTATTTCTTTTCGAGGATAATTTGTTTAAAATGGAGAGACAAAACATAAATAGATATGGAAGAATAATTATTAAAAGTCGTAATTGTTTTAAAAACAAGCTATAATTGAAAAATAAGTTTGAGACTTAATATACATAATGTTATTTTTAATACAGTATAGAGACATCTAGTGAAATTGGCAATTACTATAACTTCAAAATTTACGTTCTAGAGTGCAGTATATAGAACGATGAATAATTTGTAATTGGGAAAAAGTGTTCATAATTTACTTAAAGCATTAGCTTAATCTGATTAGCAAGTGCTAAAATATTGAGTATGTATCTCTATCATGCTGTATATTGTAACATCAAAGAAATACGTTTAACCTTTATATATATATAGTATTTTAGCGTCATTATTGGGCAGCAAGGAACTAATAAGAGAATTTGAGGTTTTAAATTTGTTAACTCTCCTTAAAATAGCATATAAATTTAAGAAAATATTAGTTTCAAACCATTTTTACTACTTTAAATAACTAAATTAACCCTTCCTTGAAAATATGATAGTATTTTTTGATTTTATGTAATCTATCTTTGTTTCCTTGATCGGAAAAATCATACATTACTATATTATAAATTATCTTTATTACTACTAAACTATAGAAAATTTGGTTATGCTCAGTTTACAATAATTTTGCTATGTGACTGATTATTTAAATTGAAATAAATCTGTGTCCGTATATTTTATGTCTTAGTGACGATATTGTTAATATTTCTTTTAAAATTTTTTGATTTGATAAAGTTTTATTTTTTCATAACATTCTTCTTATTAAAAATGTTATTAATGTAATATGTCAGTTATAATAACGTAAAAAAATTTCATAAAGGAATTTTTTTGTTAATACTTTTAATATTATAATCTAATAGGTGACAATATGTGAAAACAATTTTTCGAGTTAATGCAAATGTATTATAATTTGAGATTGTTTTGTTTTTTGTGAACATTTGTATTTTGTTATGTACTTATGTGAATTAAAATTAATATTAAATTTAATTTGATTTTAATTTTATTAAAACATTCATTATAATTTGATAAAAATGATTACGTAATGTGTATTAAATATACCTATTTTTACTAGCTACTTGCATGTCAGGATGGCCGAGCGGTCTAAGGCGCCAGACTCAAGGTTTCCCTTGGCCTGCAATGCAGGTCGGTTGAGCGTTCTGGTCCTCATCTGAGGGCGTGGGTTCGAATCCCACTTCTGACAAATTTTTTTGTATTTTTTTTTTTAACTAAAAATGTTTGTATTGATCAAAATTTTTGAAATCAGACTTCATGCTTTTTTTCAAATTAAATTAATATTTTTTATTAACTGATTTTTTTAATTGAACTATGTTTTACATAGATTCTTTTACAATGCGACATCATTAATATTTGTATGAGCTTATAGGAATGTTAATTAATTTTTGCACGTTAAGCAAATTGTTGCAAACAATAATTGTGTCATTAGCAATGTTTTGAATTGTGTGTTCAAAAAGAGTAAACAGTTTTATACATAAACATCCCGTTTAAAATATATAATTAATAAGTTTCTGCTATAGTTTCATGGCTTATGATTTATTTAAAAAATCATTTAGTTTAGAGCTTAGAATAAAAAATATTTTTAATCTTGTATTTTAAAATTCATTAGTTATTCATTACATTGATTACAAAGACGTATTGGCCTTTGCGAAACTGAAAAGCCTAGAGCTATTATAATCCATCAAATGAATTGTTTTATATAAATATGTAATGAAAGGGTGAATAATTTTTACTGTTAAAATAATTTTTTTTTTTTTTTTTGGTGTTGTGCAAATTTTAATGTTGTGCAATTCACAATGTTATTACGCTTAATTATTAAATTAATAACAAATGAATGTTAGTCATTAATATCGTTTATTACTAAGTATTTATTTTTTGTAATACTTAATATCTTAATAAATTGTAAGTTAAAAAGATATTTTTACGTATAAATCAGGCTGTTTAAGCATTAAGCTTTATTGCAATTAATTTATATTCAAAAATATTTTAAACACCTGTTTTTCATTATTTGATTTTGTTCTTACATTACATAGTTACTATAATAAAAAAAAATTCAATTTCGCATCTGTAACATCTTATATAAATCTAACATGTTTGTTTATAACCTTTAGTCTACATGTCAGGATGGCCGAGCGGTCTAAGGCGCCAGACTCAAGGGTTCCCTTGGCCTACTATGTAGGTGAAATTGAGCGTTCTGGTCCTCATCTGAGGGCGTGGGTTCGAATCCCACTTCTGACAAATTTTTAAGTATAATTTTTATCGATGATATATTTTTTAAATTATACATTTTTATACTTTGTAATATAAATGCAATATATGATGTAGTAAAAAATAGTAGAAACAAATTTAGAATATAGAAGTGTGCAGTAATATTTATTTTAGTATTGTTTATAAATTTGCTACAAAAAATTCCTAAATAATTCATTAACTTTCATAATATAATTGAAACTAAATGATTTATTTTTCTTGATATTTAAAAAGAATCTGTTTAAATACTAGCTGCTCTGATATGTATAGAATATTTCGGGTAGTAATTATTTTTCATTTTTGTAGAAATTCTATAAATACAATTTTTTTTTCAATATTATCTCATTTATTTTTTAATTTAATGGTTTATTATGTTATGAGTTTATCATAAAGTCTTATGAAGAAATATTTTTTTAAATTTAATTTAATTTATATTTAGCTCAAGCATACATGTCAGGATGGCCGAGCGG